TTTTTTTTCTAGCTTCTTCCATATGTTATTGATCATTTCATCTGTTTCTTCTTGCTTCTTGCAGAGGATGTCGATTTTTTCCTCCATCCGGTTTATGCACTCTAGGACCCTTATTCTGAATTCTTTCTGTCATGTTAGGTCACAAATAGCCTTCTCTCTCTTTCAAGGAAGCGTAGAGTTTAGTGCTCTTTGAACTTGTGCTGGTTCAACAATTTCCCTGTTGACTGCCATTATGGTGACCTAATACAAAGCCACCAGCCACTGCTGTGCATGCCCAAAGCCCTGTGGTGAATCCCCTCTGACAACATTTCCTCTCCCCACAAGATGGGGAGAGCAAATTACAATTGGGTTTGAAAGGGGTGGGTAACTTACCTTGTCCCTGGGGTTTTGACAGCCTCCTGTTGCTATGCCCACTGACTGGAGGGCTGACACAGCTCATTTCCCAAGCCTGGATTTACTGTGATCCTTTGTCACATCTCTTTCCAAGGGAGTTCTGCCCTTCCCGGCTGCAAACTGTCTCACCAGCTGAGCAATTTCACCAATTCGGGGTGGGTGCTATTAGTTTCAGCTGCTCACTCCATTTGCTCCGGGACACGACCTGGGACGCGTCTGCCTATATCGCCGCCATCTTCTTTTTTTTCTACATACCACATCTTTATTCATCCATTCGTGGACACTTAGGTTGTTTCCATATCCTAACTATTATAAAGAATGTTGCAATGAACATGAGTGTGCATATATCTTTTTGAATTAGTATTTTCATTTTATTCAGGTTTATACCCAGAAACAAATTGCCAAATCATCTGGTGGTTCTATTTTTAATTTTTTGAGGAACCTCCTTGCTGTTTTTCATAGTGACAGCACCAATTTTCATTCCCACCAGTTTTCTCCATATCCTTACCAACACTTGTTATTTCTTATGTTTTTAATAATAGTCATTATTATAGATGTGAGGTGATATCTCGTTGTGGTTTTGATGTGGATTTCCTTAATGGTTAGTGTTGTTGAACATCTTTTCATGTGCCTGTTGGCTGCATGTATGTCTTCTTTGGAAAAATGTCTATTTAGATCGCCTGCCCATTTTTAAATTGGATTGTTTGTTTTCTTTGCTATTGAGTTGTAGA